CTTCAAGAGTTCTGAGCATTCAATTAAAATTTAATAATAAATTGGTTAAAGCTGTAGATCAGCTTTCGTATTGACCCCTTGGATATTATCGACTCCTGAGCACTCTGGGGAAAACATTTGAGTATGGGTTGCCTGTTTCCTGAATACAATTTCATTCCCTTCCCAGGAATTTAGCCAGAAATGTTGCAGGAACTGGGCGCACTGACCAAGAACTTAAGATAACCAAGATAACAGATTTTTGGTGGCGTTTTGAGTACCAACACCGCGGTAGTCCTCACGTCCATGCTGTTCTTTGGCTTGAAAATGCGCCTGATGTCCGTACATTCGATACTGCATCAATTGATGATTTAGCAGTTCATAAGGCGTATTATGACACTATCGTGTCAGCTTACAACCCTGGAATAGACGCACCAAGAGCTGAAAAGCATCCTTCAAGTGTTTGGCATAGTTGGGAAAGTTAGTCAAAAATTCTAACTAGTTAGAAGTTATAAGTTAGTCCCGTAAAAAGTAACTGATAGAAGTTATAAGTTAGTTAGTTTAAAAAGTAACTGATAGAAGTTATTAGTTAGTTGAAAAACTAACTGATAGAAAATAAAGTTAGTTTTAGTAGAAATTAGTTGTTCGTTGGGCAGTGGTTTTAAAGTATTTTTAATGTCACATCTTATGGTTACTAATATATACTATAATATTAGTAAAGATTGCACAAGATATGATTTTAAAAATGGCTCCTACGATTTCCTCCAATTTCAATCTATTGAAAATTGCTTGTATAATACATTTGCATTGTATGATGTCTTACTAACCAAAGGGATAGTTACGACTGTTCAAAAACATTAAGTGTTTTACTGCAAAACAATATACACTAACATTGAACTAAAAATCTAAAGGAAAGGCCAAGGAGATTTGTATTTTTCGACGATGCACCGCACGAATTGATGCGTTATTATACCATCCCGTAATTATAGTTGCAACGTTCCACGATCCCAGTGACTTAATGCAATAACGGTCGTCAGATAACAGATGTTATGTATCATGAGTTTTATATTGATTGAAGCTTATTGTGGACATTTTATAGATTGATCGTCCAAATTAAAAAGTTTTGTAGACTAAATTGAGGATAAGTGGATCTCTAACAAAAAGAATTGACTTTACTACTTAATTAATCGTAGTAAGACTGAAAATATTTGTAGGCTTATAAGCTCTATTTTTTACCTCTTGAACAAATCAAACACCTCGAGCAAGATCGGTCCCCTGGTACTTGTGTTTTATAATCAAACATTGTCACATTTTACATTACTACAACATAAACAAATGACATAAAACTTGTCAGATAATGAACATCAACTAAAGGCAATGTTTTGACACTTGAGATGATATATCAATCACCAAACAAACATTTCCCCTTCTATATATTATGTGCTCGTTGTTCCCACCCATCAGTGCTTGGGGTGTTGATAATGGCCGTCACTACCCTTCCACAGGCCCACTGCATTCCAAAGCAATTGGACTTTGACTTTCTCTTTCCCCACCCCCCGCGTTGTTTGTCTACAAGGGCACTGACCTCTCACGGCCGCACGCAACCCTCACTGACCACGTGAAATAAATAACCAGTATTTGAGACGCTTCCGCATAATTGGGAAAGTTAGTTGAAAATTCTAACTAGTTAGAAGTTATTAGTTAGTCCCGTAAAAAGTAACTGATAGAAGTTATTAGTTAGTTAATTAAAAAACAAACGAATAAAATAGAAGTTAGCCAAAAAAACTAATGAATAGTGCTATTCGATAGAATTTCTATTCGTTATTCCCAAGTATGGTGTTTGGGCAACTGATATAGTTCTGGGAGATCCAATACATTTTGCACAACTATTGAACAGAGTACAGCGACACACTCAACACAGTGTTTACTGTCTAAAAGATCCCTCACATCCACAAGAATGTCGCTTTAAATTTCCAAAACCAAAATTGTTGGACTCTACATTGTCAAGAGACGAACAAGGAGTTTGGCAATATAAATCAAAGCGTAATGATGAACTCTTGAATGACCACAACCCCTTTGTGTCCCAACTGTGGCGAGCAAACACTGATTGCAAGATCATGGCATCTGAACACGCTATTGTAAACTATATATCGAAATATGCGACAAAAGGAGAACCCCAGTCACAAGATTTTCAAACACTTTTCAAAGAAATCATGACTAGCTGTACACCCAATGATCACGCAAAAAAGGCATTCACCAAAATGTTAACTAAAGTGATAGGTCAACGAGATATTTCAGCATGCGAAGTCATGCATCTCCTCACGGGCGATCCTCTGTACCATTCCAGTAGGCAGTTTGTAAAGCTATACATTTCTACTGATGACTATGTTGCTGTGGCAAATACAAGTACAGATACAGATGAGTTTATACAAACTTCTATCATGGATCACTATGCTATGAGATCAGCAACACTTGAGCCAATGACGTTATGCGAGTTTGCCACAAAGCACAAGATTGTTCGTGGTAGGCTTATCAACCACAGAAAATCACGTGTCCTTCAGCTCCGTCCGGTAGTAAAACCTGGAATAAATGAAGAAAATGATGAAATTTACTACAAGCAAAAATTACTGATGCACATTGCATGGCAAAACTGCGAAGCTTTAAAGACACACACAACATGGAAAGAATCCTTTACTTCACGGAACCTTTCATTGTGGGAACTACCAGAAATTGAAGACATCGATACTGACCACGTAGTACTACCAGAAGAAGACCACCATGACTGGCAGGAGTTGGCAAGAACACTTCCCAACCAAGCACCTCAGGATGTGATACTAGGTTACCGTGATATGGATCGAGAGTACAATGGGTTTGGCACTTATGACAAATATCCTGGACTAGAAGAGAACTTAGATTTCATACAGAAACAGAAAGAAATACAAGTAAATATTACAAACGATCATTCTAATAATGTGTTATCGCCTAATGAGGGTCAACAGAAAATACTGGACCACCTAGCACAGCAACTAGCGAATGAATCAAGTGAAAAGCTTACACTCGTGCAAGGGGGGGCTGGAACCGGAAAGTCATTTATTATAAATAAAATGGTACATATGATTGAATCCCTGCATGGTAGCTCAAGTGTTATTTTGATGGCGCCAACAGGTGTGGCTGCCAATAATATAAACGGACAAACAATACACAACGCACTACATATAGTCCAAACACGAGGTGGTACTGTTTCCGATCTTACAGGTAAGGCGGAGCGCCAATTACAGGAAGATTTCCGTACTGTCAAAGTAATTATTTGCGATGAGATGTCAATGGTTGGCACTCGAATGCTCTCCATGATAGACAAACGTCTGCGTCAAGCATTCACTAATCGTCAAGAATTACCTTTTGGTGGTTGTATTGTCTACTTTTTTGGTGATTTCAACCAGTTGCCACCAGTTCTGGATCGCACATTACTAGCTCCAGCAGACCCAAGAAACGTTTCTTCAATTGAAGGAAGATTTCTTTTTGAGCAGTTCAAAACAGTATTTGAGTTGAAGCAGGTGATGCGTCAAATTGGAGATGATCAGAACTGTTTCAGAGAAACTTTAAAGCGTATGGCTCTAGGCCAATTAACTCTATCTGACTATGAATTGCTTAAAACACGATTTTCATCAAACAACGTTGCTACAGTAAAAAGTTTCACAAGCGCAATTCGAATAAAAGCAAGGAAAGACGCCGTACATCAATACAATCAACTCATGTTACGGTCTTCAAACAAGCCTGTTGCTTTAATAAAAGCAAAACACAACAACTTAACAGCATGTGGTGCATCAGAGGATGAAGCCCAAGGACTACAAGCAACTCTGCAGCTATCTCAAGGTTGTCGCGTAATACTACGCCAAAACATCTGGACCTCCCAAGGCTTGTGCAACGGCAGTCTGGGGAATGTTGTTGATATTGTCTATGGACCGAATAGATCGATGGACGACTTTCCAATTTGTATTTTGGTCCATTTTGATGGATACGAAGGTCCAACTTTTAATGGCTCTCTTCCGATATTACCACTCACTGTTGGATACCGAAAAAACAACGTGTCCTGTACAAGAAGACAGTTTCCCTTGCAAGTTGCCTATGGTATTACTGTCCATAAGGCTCAGGGAATGACAGTTGACAAAGCAGTAGTTGACATTGGTACGACAGAGTTTGCCCTGGGTCTTACGTATGTTGCAATGTCACGGGTTCGGTCCATCGAAGGACTTATAATTGAACCAGGCTTTTCTCAAGACCGCCTTCTCAAGTGTATCAACAATAATGCGGGTTGGGAAACTAAACGTAGAGAACTGGCACGTCTGCGTTCACTTATACAGCAATGAACACTATTATTATTCTTATTATTTCATTATTACTTATTACTCTGCAAAATTCCTATAAATTGATTTGATTTGATTTGAGTTCATGTATTTTTAACTGTGTGAATGTTTTCTTAACTTGTATTATGTAAATAAATGCTTTTTTGTACTGTTTAGACAATTTTTTAGTAACTAATAATTATTAAAACTTAATGTATTAAATTAAAACTAATTATGACGTAAACAATAAATTTGTCATTACATTTTTCAAAATTCTTGATTAATGTGCTTGCTCCGCTCAATATTGCAAGCAGACAACTGCATTGTACTCCTAGTTTATAATATCACTCCAAACCGACCAGATTATACTTCATTTAAATTATAACATCACCGATGTAACCCCATTACTAGTGTTTGTTGACGGGCTGGACCAACAGATGAAAATTTTCGATCAGCTGTTGGCTAGTATGTTAATTTGCTAAGGCCTGAGCGCTTCAAGAGTTCTGAGCATTCAATTAAAATTTAATAATAAATTGGTTAAAGCTGTAGATCAGCTTTCGTATTGACCCCTTGGATATTATCGACTCCTGAGCACTCTGGGGAAAACATTTGAGTATGGGTTGCCTGTTTCCTGAATACAATTTCATTCCCTTCCCAGGAATTTAGCCAGAAATGTTGCAGGAACTGGGCGCACTGACCAAGAACTTCAGTGGAGCTGAGTTGGAAGGTCTTGTGCGAGCTGCTCAGTCCACAGCCATGAACCGGCTGATCAAAGCGTCCAGCAAAGTAGAGATAGACCCTTCTGCCATGGAGAAGCTACTGGTGTGCAGGGAAGACTTCATGCATGCTCTGGAGAACGACATCAAGCCGGTAACACCACTTACAAACATCACCTTGAAAACTGTGAATTTCATTGTCAAGTTTGAGTGGGAACCCTGAAAAGTTCCACTGAAATTGCAGGATAACACATTTTGTATATACAGTTGGTTACACTATCCCAGTAACTGAAGTTGTGGCCTTTATTGGGTTTTGAATCTACAGAGTGCATGTAAACTTTAACACATTTTGTGTTCTTGTTCCATTGCTTCAATATTTGTATCTAGATCAGTCATGGGCAAAACTTTTAAGTTTTAAGGCTGATTGAAATAAACAACTTTTAGGTGGGGAAAAAATAACAAAACCAACCCGAACAAGTGAAAAAATATTTCCCTTTTTTTCATTACTGATTTAAAACCAGAGTTAAAACTAAAACACAACAAGAATAGAACCATAATTATTTTTTAGCTTTGCTGGCGGTAAAATTTTGCTCTATGAATAATTGTAGGGGTTATTTAAAGGAATGTTGCGGATTGATTAGATTAGATTTAGATTTAGATTTGTTGTCATGAGAGCCGAAGCCCCCTGACTGCTTACCCGGTACCTATCCTTCAGGACATACCCGGGCCCCATGATGTAGGCCGAAGCTTACGCATCAACCTTTAGCACATCATGGGCGGATGACTTAAGGTCATCAGGCTCGCCGGCTGCCGAAGCAGACCCTTCGGAAAGAGGGTTGCCCCTCAATCCTAACCAGGGATTCCGGCTGCTTGTTTAAGCGTCACTCCACCTGGGTTCCACTAGGTCGGAACCTAGAGGTCCATAGTAGAGCGCCCCGACGCATTTAGTGCAAGCAACACTCGGGACCTATCTCATCCCTGACAGGCAGAACCCGCCATCAATAGCCAGGAGGAAGGGGACCATCAGCACGCTGACGGGGGGAACCCCAATCTCCCATTTACACCGCTGCCCGATCGAGGCCTGACCCATTGCTGGGAACCAGAGATATCCAGAGCGGATTGATTAGCTCGAAGGGCCATACTTGGCCAGTGGGCCGAACCCTGCCCATAACTGGTCTGGAGTGATCATTTTTATACCTATCTGTTTGTTGGCCATAGTAATAAATAACATTCCAACTCCAACTGTACAAATAAGATCAAAAGAAGGTAGTTAACATATAATTTATTTATATGTGTATCTGTAAATCATATTCATTATAATCAACTCTACATAGTGCAATATCTTGCAACTTAACAGATATCTTACCATCTATTTTTTCAAATATTTTAACAACATGTTCTCTTAATTGTGTCTAGGCCTTTGGTACGAGTGCTGAGGCCCTGGATCACTTCCTCACCAGAGGTATCACTAACTGGGGAACTCCGGTCAAGAACATCCTGGAGGATGGAATGTTGTTCATACAACAGGCCAAAGCTCCCGAGTCTTCAGGGCTTGTCAGCATTTTGTTGGAAGGTAAATCTTTTTTGTTATCTATGGTCAAAATTCTTATTGGGATGTATGTAAAAACTTTAAAAGATTGGATCCTGCTTGTGGGTAATCTAATTTGTCTAAATAAAAGTGTCAGTAGCCAGCCTGCACTGCCCTGAAATCATTTAGTGTAGTGTAGTGTAGCTTTGTGGAAGGAACCTAACCTCAAACTTGTGCAGTGTCAATTTTTGCTTGGCACCTTTGTTCAGGTAATTTTTGTTGGTGTATTCGGGTACTTCGCCTCTGCTTTTTTTCTGCATTTGACAATACTGAGGGTTTGTAGGCAATTTTGTTCAATGTTGCTATCTTTTGGTTTCTTGTAGAACTACGTCCATAAAAGACGCAACTGGAACGCAATCCATACTATACTTTGCCCATCGGATGAAAATAAATTTAAACATTTTTGAGAACCATGCAGCACATTGGCTGTTCCCTCACCTGGCCACGGCCCACCATAACGCTACCGCAACAAATGTGTTAAAGAAGGTGGTCCAGACCAATCAAATTTCTTAAGTCTCTGTCTGAACTATACCTCTATATTGCAAAATAGAGATGGTGCAGGTATCTGTTTGTCCTGGGTGGTATTGATTCATGTCGTACGCAGTGTCTCAGATTCGTTAACACTGTAAAAGCTAACGTTACAAAGTATCCCTCAAATGGGTTTACAATGCAGATATTACTTCTACTTTGAATTTTCATTAGACACTAAAGTAACAGAGTGTTTTTTTTTTCAGGACCGCCAAACTCTGGGAAGACTGCACTAGCTGCCCAGCTGGCTAAAATGTCTGACTTTCCATTTGTCAAAGTTTGCTCCCCAGAAGACATGGTGGGCTTTACAGAATCTTCTAAGTGTCTAACTATCAGGAAGGTAAGTTTTGATGCATTAAGTGAATTTTAAGTGTTAAGTATTTTCTCATAAAGCTTAGGAAACATTAGTGAAGAGGTGTTAAACTGTATCAAAATATATTAGATTCAAGAGTGTCACAAAACATAGTAAATGTAGGAAACAATTTTCATTAGCTTATTCCCCATGAACTAATCAGAGAATTTTTCGTCATTGTGAAGTCGTCTGCTATCGTTGTCGTTGGATAGATTGTTGACTCGGTAGTCGGGAGTTAATCTCACTGAATTTACAATTTTTATATTGCGACATTTGATATTTTGTTTGAACACAGTAGAACTTTATTAATAAATATATTTAAATATTGTGTCACATTAATTCAACGTTTTATAGAACCAGTCATTTTGAAATTCTTTTGATTTTTTCAATCTATTTGTATTTATCAGTTTAAGTTTGGTACAGTTAAGCAAATTAAAGATTCTTGTTTACATTTCAAGCAAACTTGGACCCTTGATAAGACAGAAAAATCTGTTAATGTCCATCTTCTTTATTTAAGACAAAATTTTTCATCCTTTTCGGAAATATCCTGCATAGCCTGTTTAATGGGGTTGTAAAAAAATAGTAGAAATAGAAGGAACTCTCCCCTGGTTAAAGATTCAGACATTGTTTTAGGCAATCTTTGTATTTTCAAAATGTTATGGTTTTGATTGGTTTTCCTTGTGTCAAAGTTGCTATTGTACCACCAATATATTTTTTTTAATGCAAGGAAACTTTTGCATATTTGAACTCCCCAGGTTTATTTACAAGCATATCTCTAATTTACATTTTGCCTTTGATAAGTTTTATAGAACTAGTATTACACCGAATGAAATAAATAGTAAAAAACCCTACCCATAAAAATGACTACTGTCGCTTTCAACTTAATGTGTTACAGTATAATCTGTCTGTAAACCAATTCGAAGGATCTATCAAGATAAGCACTAAACACCTCCCATGTGTGTTGCAGTATTTCGACGACGCATACAGATCCACTCTGAGCTGTATCTTGGTGGACAACATCGAGCGCTTGTTGGACTACGGCCCCATCGGTCCTAGATACTCCAACCTCACCCTTCAGGCTCTACTGGTCCTGCTCAAGAAGGAACCTCCTAAGGGAAAGAAACTGCTCATCCTGTGTACCAGCAGCAGAAGGTAATGTCCAACGTACTGGGGTTAGGGATGTGGGCGTGTCAAATCTGAATATTGAATTGTGGTTCTGTTAAAACCATAGACAAAAAGAATTAAACATAGACTGTCAGCTGTGCTGCAGTTACCATAGGTTCTGGCGCACACCGCTGGGAGCGCTATATAGTTACGGCTTACGTGCTACGTAACTACACAGCGCTTCCAGCGGTCTGCGCCAAAACCTGTGGTAACCATGGTAACCGCAGCATGGCTGACAGTCTATATTTAATTCTTTTTGTCTATGTTAAAACTCAAGAGTTGTGTTCAAGTTCTGATTGGCTTGGTTTTCAATCCAATCTAAAATATCATTTAGTAACGTCATTACCACAACCCATGCTTTTGTACGCAGTAAATGTAACAGAATAAGAGTGGGGAAGAGTGGACAAAGTATCATTTTTGAAATATTTTAGTTCTTGTTTTTGTTTTTCTTTTCTTTATTTTTTTTCAAGGGGAGTTTGAAATATTGCAGGTATTTCATTGAGACCTTGCTATATTGATAAATCACTAATGTTCACATAATTGCTGGATGATCACAATGTCGCTGTAATCAGAAAAGATGCTCATGTTGAAGGATTTTGGAAGATGATCCCGATGTTGCTTATCCTGATAAATAGCAACAGATATTTAAACGTATGCAAGTTAAGAGTAAAAAAAAGGGCCATATGACACTAACCCTGATCCCTAAATGCAGGATTTCCATTTAATTTAATTTAATTTCAACAAACTATAAGTTTTAGAAACCATTTGAAATCAAGTATTCTAAAAAATCTTGAATCTTTAGTGCATGTTCAGTCTTTTATTTATAAAAATACACAGAATCTACTCTAACAATTTAATTACAAAAGTGTTAAGACAAGAATCATACTATTGTCTTGATTATCTTCAGCGATCACCATAGCCATGAAATTCCTATCCCTAAATTATTCCAACCCTGTTTGGAAACCAGAATTAAGAGTTTCCTGAACAAATCCTGAATAGTTTGGACTTGAATATTTAATTCCATTACATTTGTCATATAATGCCTTATACAAACACAGCAGCCGTGCAGGCACAACGGGTGTAACTAGTGTAGTCTTGAGATATTGTAATTTGAGATTTACGTTCGACACATCACTAAACAAATTGTAAATACAATTCCAAGATCTTGTATTTATTGAAATAGTTAATTCAGCTCGCTATTTGTGCACATTTGGTAACAATACTTGTTTTCCAGACAAGTGCTAGAAGAGATGGACCTGCTGTCCGCGTTCACAGCTGTACTGCATGTACCTAACCTCAACAAGGCTGAACATCTGCTGGCCGTGGTCGAGGAGAGCGAGATATTCTCCAAGGAGCAGATGGCTCAACTCATGCGTCAGATCTCAGGACATTCCAAGTAAGTGTTTATAGCAGTCTTCCAGCGTGGCTGTGAGTGTGCATCGTTGACTGTGGGGTGTTTGGAATGCTGTGTGTGGAATAATATCCTTAACACGAGCTGTTGATGGGAGAATGTTTTATAACTTGAGTGTAGAGTTTGATTTTGACTTGCTTCACTCCCAGATTCGCTTTTTATCTAAGGTCATTGGTAAACGTTTTCGGTTGCTACGCTGTTAGTTTTGTACGTAGAATGTTTAAAAAACGTTCAAAAATCTTTGTGTTTTAGTATTTTATTTTTGTGCATGGAAATTTTGCATTGAAAATGATGACCATTTAAGAATTGTTTTACCATGACCGAGTTAAAAAGTAGTGAACCAATTTGTGATCAGCAAAATAGAGCCAGACAATTAGGACCAGCATGGAGCAATTGGTAGTCACGTGTGGTATGTTGCCGTGGGGATTGTAAAGTTGTTGGGGCAGGTGGAAGATACTACGATGCTGTCCAATTTTGGGTGACAAGTTGCTGGGTAAGAAAGTAAAGAAGACTGGCCTCTCTTCTGTTAGGCCTACAGGCCGTTCTACGTCAGTTAAGCCTTCAGGCCACTCTGTCGTTGTTCGGCCACCGACCTCCAAGACTCCCCAAGCTGCCTGATCCATCAGGTAGCTGAAACCTTTTAGTTGTATCCTAAAAGGGAATGTTGAATGAAATTTCATAATGTCGAAAAGTAAGTCAGTTTTAGAACGGGAGCAAATTGGCCTAAAGGTATAGCACAGGGCTTCGGTCCCATAGGTCATGGATTTGAATCCTCCTAATCACCTATGTTTTTAACTTTTTGATAATGCCGCAAACCTCTAGGCCAAGCCTGAAGTAATTTGTAAAATGGATCTAAGCTAGAGCCTAGTGTCTAGGATGTACAGTAGAAAAGAAACTGAGTATGTAGAACACTAAACACAAGTAAAAGCATATCCCACAATCGCTGACAGATTTTTCATCCAAGCACATTCAAATTAAGTCTGCTATCCCGGTTAATTCTTTAAACTGGACATAGTGGCAGTGAATTTTCTCTTCTAGTTTGAAACTTAGACAATATGCAACACTCCCTTTGAGGATATGTCTATTGGAAGAACTTTTAAAACACATGTTTATTACATTTTTAACACATTTAAGTTATTTTTTTGTCATTTTAGCCTTGATTGCTCCTTTTTGTCAAAACATTTCTTTTTCTTACTTGCCTTTGAATTTTTTCCTGCTTTTGTTCTATCCGACTGTAAGTTAATTTCATGTTTGTTGTTGCAGGATTTTCATCGGGATCAAGAAGCTGCTAGCTATGTTGGACATGGCTCGTCAGACGGAGGACGCGTATCGAGTAGTCAAGTTTGTATCGAGGCTCGAGGAGGAAGGCGCACTCGATCGAGGAATGACCATACACTAGACAGTATTAGCCTCCTCGTAATAGCACATCCTTCCTTAGGTATTATCAGTCCTGCTTGTTGAATTTGTGATTTATTTATTATAGTATGTTACTTACGACGTTACGTTTGTGCATTGTTAATAGTAAAAGCGTAATTGATGATAGAGTTTTATTATGTATGTGTGGACTGGTTTGACCGGTTAAACCACCGAGCTGTGAGATGTATTACTCTTTAAATGTCCATCAACGCTAAATGTTTATGTGGCGGTTAGAAGGCTTTTTTTAATTCCACAAGGTTTTATCCTGGAATTTTTTTCCACATTACTTCAGACTAAGCTTAGAGGTTGCGACATTATCACTTAGATAAAACTCATTGGTGGTGGGATTTGAACCGGGGACCTTGGGGACCGAAGCCCGGCGCTCTACCACTAGACCATATGTTAAATAGGTGCCAAAGCAAGACTTAACCTCCGCATGCTAACCAACGTTGATGGACAATTTGGTGAATAATACAATTTATCTATTGTTTGGTAATAAATCAAAAATTCAGAAGGATTCAAAGGTAAATGTATGTAAAGCTGGTAAAAAATTAACTAGGCACTGGCTGAACGGGGCATACTGCAAAACAAATGATGTCAGCAATTTGGAATTAAACACAGCTGTGACAGCTGTCCTTGTTAAAAATTGGAATGTCAAAGATAATAGGTGTGCTGTCTAAACTGCTGTAAAATGTAAAAACTGACAAATTGTAAAAAAGATCTATCCAACAAACAAACAACAACAACAACAAAACAATAAAACAGAAGAATAAAAAATTAACATTTTATTGGTTAATAACTATTTATAAAAAATGTCAAATAAGTTGCTGATGTAATTTATTTTAGAGTATGACTTATAACACAGTGTTCATATTGTAAGTTAAAGTAAAGTGGATATGCTTGAATGTTAAAGGTTCTGGTTGGTACCTTTTCCTAAAAACGTACTACTTGAGCATCAACAGTGTAAGATATTACCTACCTAATTAACATTTTTTTTATAATTAAAGTCATCGCCCCATTTTCAATCTAGAGGTGCATTTTGTCCCCTTTATAGGTACTGATCAATTTATCTGTGTATGACTTCATGCACATAATAATCAATGTTACTTTGATGTTACTTTGTTTTTGTTTAAATTTTAATGCTTGTAAATGCTATGTTTAGTTAATTTATGTTTAAAGGTTTAAAAAACGTATACAACTTGTTAAATCATCTAATATAAGGTAGCGTACAAAGGAAATGAATAGAATCAATTTTTTAAATTCTGCATCCAGTGTAATTTATTGAGTTAACTTTAAAACTCTTTAAATTATTTGGTATTTATTTGTTAATTTTATCGTAAACCTGGTAAAAATGTAGGTAAGCAATCATTGGTGTTAATTATTAAATAATAGCTATGAAACTTACTTTGGAATCAAAACCATTGACATGAAATATGCACTTTCTCTCAATATTTCTCTTTAGGCTGAGTTGCACCAATGGTCATTAATAAGTTTTTGTGATCATTTTCTGTTATTATTAATCGATCGTAAACATTCATTTCTTGAAAAAGTACTTTTACTCAAACAATAAGACCACATAGTAAACATATTAACATATTAAATAATATGTTCCAGTATTTTTTAATTTGTAGGTGTCTAAACAACGACAAATTTTTATATTACTTTTTTCAACGTTTAATTAAACTTCAAATTATATAAGACCGTTGTGCATTTTTATTTGAACTTTACACTGTATATAAACCTGGAGCTTGTGTGGTTGTAGTGCAATAGATAAAAGTAGTCATGCCATAAAGTGTGTGTGAGGTAATACGCAACTACCAAAAACTGCTTTACTATTTTAATTCTAACTAGTCTGCATAGGTTATTAGGGGAATATCAAAATATTTTTATGTATGTTTTAAGACTGTATCAATATACCTATACAAACACTGGATCTAATTTTGTGTGTATAAAAATTAGTGGCATTTAGTAGATATCATGAATCTAATTGTAAGACATACTTTTTCTCGTTTGATAGGAAGTACAGGTAATTTTATTTGTTGTATGCTATGGATTTTGGAAGATGTACTGCAGAAAAATTCAATTTGATGTGCTAAACTTAAAGTTCTTTTTGCCTTTTTTCCAAGGTTATACTTTTATTGTGTTTTCCAAGCAAATTCACTTGTCCACTTTATAAACTTGGCCTTTAATAATTAGACTTTAATATACAACTTTCCAAACACAGAAAACCTTGATTTTTGTTCAATACTTGTATTTTTTTACACATTCTCTTAAATCAATACATACACATTTTTAAAAAATCAATACATTACAACTTTTTCATGAAACATATTTAGGTTTTCACCTGGTGCACCCTTCAAGATGTAGGAAAATCTATGTTTTGAAAATGTACAAATATGAAAAGGAATTACTTGGATCGGTATAATTTTAGAGTATTTAGAAGTAATTTGTTTGTTAATCACGTAAGGATGTAGATGCAAAGTTGTTGTTTGTTTAACATTTAATTGTGGTGTAATACTTAGTATGAAGTAGCAGAGATAGAATTATCGTCAAAAGAATGTTCATCCTTTTGCTCATAAATGTTTGTTTAAATATCTATTAAAATATAACATTGTTTAATAATGCAGTTAGATTTTAAAGAATAAAATTAATTGGTGTTTGGTGTTAAATGTGTATAAAGGATGCAGAATGCAAAATTTAAAGACAACTGTTGAAATAATTTAAAAAGTTTTTAAAACTTAATTTAATTTTTTACCTCTGTTAAGCCTGTGTATTGTTTATAAGACATATTTTATTATCGAATCAGTGTAATTTTAGAGTATTTATGGGTCCTGTTATTCAAGCATATTGGAAAAGCTAAGTGGTTGTTGTCGCTTATATTAAGTCAATTGTTAGAAGACATATCAGGCTTAAAGTCTGACTTAAGTCGCCTAATCTTCCGAACTTATATAGAGCAATAAAATTGATGTCTTGCCGAGAATATTGTAATCAGCCCATCGTATTTACCTTGCTGTACTTGGATGCAATATTTAAGAATGTATTTAATTTATTGATTAATTCATTCATTAGGGTACTCTCTCCATAATTTCCCTTTTAACTTGTATTCTCTTTATAAAACACAACTAACTATAATATACACTGAGTTTGAGTTTTATTCATAAAAGATCGACGATAGGTAGTAACAAAAAGTGTTGACTGGTCCCTCACAAAAAAAAAAAAAAAAAATTCCACCAGTTTGAAAACAAACAAAACATAATATAACCTGAATAATGGAATCTGGAGTACCAAATCTACAACATTACTTAGTGACGATTATATTAATCTTCTCCTACCTCCTCCATACCTCTCAATTTGGTACTTAAAATTAAAATAATATCCATTCTTAATTTTTATTTTGTACCAACAATAATTGACTCAAGAGGGAGTAGTACCTGAATGCAGTTCCCTATTCCGCCTCTGTCTCAAATAAAGCCTTGCCAATACTTTTCAATACCTAAAATCTTGCATTGGTAGGTTGGGATAAGACAGAGCTCTTGTATGAACTAAAAGACTTTTATTTTTTGTTCTTGTTTTAACACAACAATATAGTATTGTGTACACAGCTATTAGTCAAAGATATCATGTGCTAAATATTTAATTATTTGAGTATATTATTATTTACATTTATAACCATGAGAAATAATTCTGTAGTATTAAGTACTTCAGTAAATTGGAGGTGTGCAAACGGTTTGATTTTCGAGCCGAGCCTAGCATACGAGCTCGAGAGTTCGCCAACTCAGAAAATCACGCTCGAGCCGAGCTTCCACATTTGCAGGCGATAACAAAGTTCCTGTTAATCACAGGAGAAGATGGTGATATCCCTACAACCGCGAGAGATGTTCAAAATTTTCTGCAGTTACAGAAATAATTTATAATGATTACACCACCATTGTAGACGACCAGGATTTTACAATGATCGCTTGAGTCAATTAATTATGATGTTTACACAACCCTGGAAGATCTTTTTGAATTTGCTGCGATTGTGGAAAAATTTGATTTTTCCGTTTGCTCAGGATTTTTTCCACAATTATTGCCGTAGACGATTATGATTTTTCTTGGCTTCGAGAACGGTCCAGTATTTGACTGCGATTACGGAAAACAATGATGATGTTTCTGACACTGTGGGAGACGATGATAATGTCACCGCAGTAGACATCCTGGGTTTTGCCGCGATCGCTGAAGGCTATGATAATGTTTCTGTGGCTGCAGGAGATGAACAGGATTTTTTCTGCGATCGTGGGAGACTGCGATGATGACGTAATGAAGTAATGATAAATGGACTGTAGCCTACATAATATTGATGATTACCAAATGTACTACTTTCTTAAATACTGTACATTGTAACATTAAATTGTACTTTGAAAAAAATAATTAAACAAACTAATTTATTGTATGTCCAAAATCCTCGGCTAAAAAACAACTTGAGGCTCGAACTTTTCCCTAAACGCTCGTGCTTGGAGCTCGGCTCAATGAAAAATCTCAGGCTCGCACACCGTTCTTGTAAATACAATAATTGGTGTAATATTCACGCTAATGTAATTATTAAATGTATGTTTTGTTAATAGATTTTTAATTACAAAAAATACGAGATAATTTGCTTGTGCTACTCTATACAATAGAAAAATACTTATTTAGTGAGACTGTAGTTAAAAAACATTACTTTCCATTTTATTTCTTAATGCTTATACAATTAAAAAAGTTTTCTTTTTTATTATGTTCCAAAGTTGCAAAGTCACTGCTTATTTACATGTTTAAGTTAGGAAAATACCACTGTAATATGAATATTATTGCAATAGCAATTAAATAGTTAGAGTTAACATTTTCAGATATGAAATTATTTAAGTATTAGACTAGTTAAATAATATAATTTAAATATTTAAATCTATTTTTATTTTTATCTATAAATAGCAAAATTATGCCTATTGTAAAAACAAAATGTTGCATGTTTTATTACTATTTTTAAATTAAATTTTTTTTAAATTATGAATTAAATGGTTTACAATTTAAGTCAGTTACCATTACAAATTTAAACTTCTTAAGCGTTTCTATAAAATAACATTCCTTGTATAGTTTTGTGTAAATGTTTATGTTGTACTTACAAAAAATAAAAGAACATAGTTCTGTTCATGATTATGTAAAATACCAACTCAGTAAATGTAAATTGTTGAAGTGTAGTTGTGTTTATTACAAAGTCTAGCCTCTAATTTTATTTTTACTAACACATTAATTTATTTTCAGTGCAAGGATACTACAATGGTATATTTCGCTACTTGTCCCAAAAGTCACCCATTCAGAGCAAAAAAGTACAGTAGTTTACGAGCGAATTGAAGCTGAGGGTGGAAAACAGCTATCGAACCCCAAAACTGAACTTTTGTGGAAGTTCTTTTCATCACGATGCAAACAATAATACTAAGCTTCTTGGTTTGATTTATTTTTTAATATTCCATACTGAGGTAATTTTTTTAAGTAGGTAGTCATTAGTTAGCATGGTTTTAAATTTATTCAAAATCAGGTGTTTAAACAACATTTCTCGTAATAAAAATACACATAAATTAGTGCTCCTTTCGAGCTAAACGGGATCTTCGTTTGTTCGGGACAGGACAAAGTTGATTTTGTATAGGAATAGTAGTGTTGATGGCAGGCAAAATGATATGCTATGACAGATTGTAATTCAACGATTTTCTAAAATTTCAGCTGTACATAAATGAGCTTTTTTTGTATACAGAGTGATGAAAAGTATTAGTTATGAAATTCTAAGTAGTAAACCATTACTACTACTGCTCTTTTGACAATTTTAATTTGCCTACTTTTGCCTAGTTTTCAAAATCGGAAAGAAATCATTTATCCAAACCCTTTCAATTTCGGATAATCGGTCTTTGACATAAAGAATATAGATATACTATTTTAACTTTGATTGATACTATTTAAATAAATTTTTACACGTATATTGTTGATTGTCACTGCTGATCGTCTCCCGGTCTCGGCAACAACGGGGATCAGCATTTAGGTTAATCGACGTTTTGGATGATCAGGCTTTCGATAATCAATGCTCCACTGAATAACGGAAAACCGCTGGAAGTTTAATAGTTTTTTACAACCTTCAATATTGTCTTAGTGATCATCAACATCGGTAAATTAATTGCTAAAACAATTTACAAAAATGCAAAAAAATCAAGTTAAACATTTATAACAATCTTCAGATTATTAAAAATTCAGAAATATTGGTGAAGTTTTTATTTCAAATTTATAAATAACAAAACCTTGTATTTTAACAAAATTTAATTACATTGTCTAAATAAATGTAATTGATGGGCTTTAATTTTAGGGGAAAAAGGTATTAACAAAATGAAAATACATTACATTAAAGTATAAATTTAATCTACAATACTACATTTTGACTGGTTTGATTTCTCGTATAGAGATTACATAGGTATATTAACAAACTTATTTCTACGCTCGTAATCTTACAACCCGAACAAAAGTCTTAAGCCGAAAGCTCGGTTGAGAGCGTTGACGAAACATGTCATCAATCTCAATCAACCTCTTGACGAACCTAAATACTTAATTCACTGAATTCAATAACACTTAACAATAATACTCTTTGAGCCGCAATCGATCGATTGCACAGACTATATACAAGGCACGACAGCGCCGGCGGACGGATATCTACGATAAATAACTACAAGAATTAACCTTGGTTAGGTCAAAGGTACTTGGCAAGAATATGTACAGGATCAGACAAAACTGGGAGCGACTTACGATCGCAAATGCTGCGAATAAATAGTTTGTTACTAGGGTACACATAACAGTATGTATTGAACGTGCTACAATTCAGTGTAATAAATGTTCCATACGTTAATGGTCGGTTATAAATACGACTTAAATATTTTGTGATAAATGTAATGATGTATAAATAAAATAATAGATGGTATTTGTTCCTCCATCAGGTAAAGAGTAAACTTTACTTCATAAAGATGGTGAAATATTTTTAAGTGTTCGATTAGCTGTAATTGATCTTGGAAATTTCTTTAAACACTATTTGTTAACTTTTATTGCCAGTTACGTACCAAAAAAGTTTTAGTCATGTAAAAAATAATTTTTTAAATATTTAAAAGCTTGAGAATTATTCTAATTCATGAAAAATATACGTTCTCCTTTAATTGAACACCAGTTAGTTATGAACTAAATAAGTATGAGAAATTGTACTTATTACAATAAGTAAAATAAATTATAAGTATTGCCAAAATCTTGAACTGAAAACTAGGTTTCAAACATTTTACTGCCCTAAAATATTGAGTTCTCAACTTGTTTTATAGCAAGCCATTCATTTTTAAAGCAATTAACTAATTTTGTGTTATTTCAGAATACATATACAAAATACCTTAGATATTTAATACTCTTAACAGAACACACTTTAAAAATAAAAATCTTGTAGTCTAATATTAATAAATTTGCTATCACATAAATTTTGTGAGTATTGGGTACAGTTTAAAATATTGTTATCTTTTATTTAATTTTAATTCATAAAATAATCTTGAATAATGGTTTCTTTGTAAAACCTTGGTTTGGAAAATCCTCACGGTTTCTTCATAAAACTTGGTTCGGAAAAATTCTCACAAAGTAATTCTAGTTTTATCACATTCAATTAGATTCACAGCTGAAGAGAAAATGGCAAGAACTATACAATACCTAAGCTAAGCATAAAGTATCGTACTTTCAGACTTAACTTTGGCTCATAATGAAAAGTTTGTATAGCACCTAAAATGTACAGCTTTTCACATCTTAACACTATTTCGATAAAAGTCTTATTGCAGCTTCTGCAGCTTCTTCTGGCTGGCTCTGTAGGCTTGGTTGTAGAAGTCGAGGAAGAGGACGAAGAATATTGTGGAGTGGACGAGTAGAAACGCAGCGACTAACTTGGGGTAGCCACAGTCGAAGATGAGCACTTGAGCCGAATGGATGAACACTAGGGTGAATTGAGCCTGTGGAAAAGTATCATCTGTTAGTACAATGGTTGGTAAATATGTTTAAGCCACGTTTACACAAAGCCAGTTGGCAAACAGATTATACGCCTCAGGTAACTTGAAATGCAATAGCCAGGTTGCCTGCTTGGTGGCCTCGTGTATATGTGGCTTTAAGGACACATTAATCTTTTGAGTTCCTGGAAGTATTTATTGATAATCATGTCTATTACGATAACGATTTCCTCCCTCTATAACAATTAAATACAGTATTTTATTGGTGAGTGAAGATCATGTCAATTAGTATGACGTTTGGAATGATGAGGGTAAGGCTTCCATCAACACTGAGAGTCACACTACTAGACGCTAGTGGTAATAAATGATTCCAACAGTAATTAATTGTTGAAACAACTGCGGAAAATAACAAAAGCGATGGTGGTGGGGGAATGGTTCTTGTGTGCATTCTGATCGCCTCTCTAATTGACACACTAAAAACTCACTATCATGTGAAATAAAAATATTGTTTACTGTATGTAGTGATAATAAATAAATTTATTTAATTTCATTGTGAAACAGCTAATCTTTGGTTTGGTTTTGGTATCAATAATCTTATCTAACTGACAAAAACATAGGTCCGATCAATCAAATCGGTGGTGTCAACTTTGCCACAGATGTTAACTTTCAATCTAATTTTTGATATGTATTTACTTGCAACAGCTGTTAGTGGATTGTAAAATGTTTTGTTTTTGTTTTCTGTTATGTTTTACATGGTTTTACCTCAAGTTTAATATTTTTTTCAGTGAATCATTCTCAATATATTTTGTGTTCATATGGCCTTCTGTCTTCTGTATGTCCTATGGCCTACCTCAACTTCTTCATGGTAAGCCAGCTACTATCCTCCTTATTCTACAATTCAAAATCCTGGCCTAGAACCTTTCCTTGAACAAAACTAATCTTATTTAGATAAAACATCGCTAAAAACCAATGAACCTTTATTAGTTAACATATACATTGAGTAAAGGGGTGTCCAGTTTCCTTCCATTAAAATCAACTGACTTTCTTCATCTTCCGATTATTAAATCAACTCAACACTGTAAAAACTACCCAGCTACCCATGTATTGAGGTGGTATGCTTAATTGCTTATTCACCTCGATTAATATCATAGACAAAAAGAATTAAATATTATAGACCGTCAGCCGTGCTGCGGTTACCATAGGTTCTGGTGCACACCGCTGGGAGCGCCATGTAGTTACGGCGTACACGCTACGTAACTACACGGCACTCCCAGCGGTGTGCGCCAGAACTTATGGTAACCGCAGCACGGCTGACGGTCTATATTTAGTTCTTTTTGTCTATGTTAATATCCAGACTAAGAAACACCTAATCTTGGTATCGAAGCTACACCGATCATCTCAATGCATTCTATCCTTAACTACCATTAAAATCCAGCATAAAATAAACCTGGTTGATATTGTCTCAAAAATAATAATGACGTTTACAATTAAATAAAAATACAAGTACTCACAAGTTGGAGGGTGGTGAGATGTTTTTTCCACCAGAGGTACTTCTGGTACTGAGGTCCGAGAGCAGACATCATGTAGTAGAAGTACATGATCACGTGGACCAGGTTGTTGACCAGGTTAGAGAAGGTTCCGTGACCACCTGCGAATGTCAAACAGTTCTCATTTTGTATCGCAGTGTAAAATATTAGTGATGTATAATAGTCATCAAATTACCAGTTTGAGGTAAACCTCCTTAGAATTTAGCTACTTAATTTTGCACATATCTTTTGTAAAATTATATAGGGTGGAAAATAGTCCCGGGACAGTTAAATATTTAAAAACATACGGTAATGAAGAAAGTGCTCCAAAACTTGGTAAAAATTTTTTGGGCATTAAACTCATTTTAACACATTATTCAATGATGTGCTACCTCCTCAGAGACTTTAGCTAGGAGTCAGAAGAAAGTCTTAAATAAAAGCATAGGTAGATATGCACATCAAATTAAAGGTCTTTGTTAGTTAAATACAATGCCGCAAACCCGAACTCAATCAGACCACCGAGTCGAAAATGCAATTTAAAGCTGCATATAATTTGCATTGTTATACGCATACCTTCTCAGGGAAGAGCCTAGAAGTCGGAAGAAAATCATAAACGTATGCACATAAAATTAAAGGTATTTATTAGTAGAATACAATACCGTACCGCAAATTTGAGCTCAACAGAACTACTATGAGTAAAAAATGGCAGCCACTCAAATATTCAAAATATGGCAGATTCAAGAAATCTTTACCACAATTCCGGTACTTCTCTTTCGGAAAGATAAAAATATTGGCATAAATAGGTACAAATCACATTAAATAGGTTACAGTTCCGTTCCGGCACCTCATTTGTTACAAATCGAGCACTGTATACAGGGTGTTTCGGTAAAGCGTAGCGGGCTATGCAGATTCAGATTCTACATGCAAAAACAGGTCGAAAATATAGAATAACATGTTTTTATTTCGGCTTTGTTTAGCCGTAATCCGCCATTTTGTATTTTGTTGAAAATAATTAATATTTCAAAAACCCCTAGAGATATTTTTATGAAACTTTGTATAAACTTTAAGGCATTACCTAGGCACCTTGTAGGCATTAACATTCTCCGAAAATATCTTTGATGAGGCTCATCAAATTTCAAAATGGTGGTCAATTAAAATTTTGTTTTAATGGCTTTTTTTAATTGAATTTTACTTTTAAAATTTTAAATGGCCGCCATTTTGAAATTTGATGAGCCTGATCAAAGATATTTTTGGAGAATGTTTATACCTGTAGCCTAAAAGTTTATACCAAGTTTCATAAAAATATCTCCAAGAGTTTTTAAATTATTTATTATTTTCAAAAAAATACAAAATGGCGGATTACGGCTAAACTAAGCCGAAATCGAAACAAAGTTATTCTATATTTTCAACTTATTTTTGCATGTAGAATCTGAATCTGCACAGCCTGCTACGCTTTACCGAAACGCCCTGTATATATCTGTCATGAAGAAGTATGACTTCACTACAGTCAAGTTTCTTTGTTAAAGATTCCCTAATAAATGGCCTAAAATTGAAAATCAGGAATGGGTAAAAAACTATATGTCAAATCAATTTTGTCGGACAAGATTATTAATTATAGGCATATTATTATACTTGGTATGACTTTCTGTCATTTCAACTATACCCCACAAAAATATCTACAATGACTAATCAAAAGTATCTTACTTTTTTTACACATGCCAATTACGCTTCCACGTCTATCTACTATTGAAATCTCGCAGGGGAGCGAGCTGGCATGGTGGTTAGAGCGCGGGACTTCGGTCCCTGAGGTCCCGGGTTCGATCCCCACCAAGTCACCAATGGATTTTATCTAAGTGATAATGCCGCAACCCCTAGGTCTAGCCTGAAGTAATGTGAAAAACAATCCCAGGCTCGTGCCTAGCGTCCTTAGGAAAAAAAAAACAAACTATTGAAATCTGCAACTTTTACCTGCGAGAAACTTGACGCAGACCCAAGTCTCGATGGGTGTGAGCGAGTGATGGTACAGATGCAACAGACTTATCTGGTTGTCTTTCTTCCGCATAACGAAGAATATCTGAAACACCCCATTGTCAGATACTCTATCACTTTAGTTGATAATGAAACAAATATAAATATACAAAATATAATACGGAATTCAAAACTAGAGTACAAAACAGTTCAGAAAGACGTTATTTTTTGGTGTATAAACATGTTTAGAAACGCTAGTTATTCTAAACAATAAAATACCATTGACCATCACCAAACTGTAGCATACCCTTGACTTGGAACTATTGCTCCAGTCGATCTTTACACCTTAGAATACCAAAGAAAATATTTTTAGGTGTTTACATATAGGCAACAACCTAAAGATTGCATTAAGAATGTATTTTTACCAAAAAAGTAATGCCTTATGTCATTGTACAAAATTTGGATTTTATAACTAATAATAATACATAGATAATATTTAACCAGTACTTACCATCCAGAGAGTAATATTTTGTATATATTAATAATCTGGAAAACTATAAGTCCTGTAATATACTCATGATATTAACTTTTTATAACACTTTTTGCCAAAAATGTATTTAGATGAAAAATCTACATATTCTTTTTGAAAATTAAGAAACAAAACATTGATACTTATCAAAAAGATTAATCCAAAAAGCTGTTTTTCAATTAGAATTTAAAAACTCTAAGTCCAGCTTACATGCCTGAACAATCTTAACTACTTTTTCTATATGAAAAATGGATGACATGACAAAACCTCAGCTATCTACTAAAATGGATGACATGACAAAACCTCAGCTATCCACTAAAATGGATGACATGACAAAACCTCAGCTATCTACTAAAATGGATGACATGACAAAACCTCAACTATCCACTAAAATAGAATTGGATGCATTGAAAGCTTTCGTGCAACGTTTCCATGCAACTAAGGATGAATGAAGTTGCGGTTTAGTTATGAATAAAATGAATTAAGACCAATGAATCATCAGTTAGGCGAATCCTGAATGATCGTGGCAGCCGGTGATGATGATGGGATGCGGTGATCGAGTGATCGTAATCACTCGGTGACAAAACTTACCGTATCCACAAACTCTGTCAGTTTTGAGATGTAATACCACCAACAAAGACTAGCCATCTGCAAAATCAAAATTGTTATAAATTGTTCCAAGTTCCAATAGGTTGTATCACAGTTATCATGTGTAATAAAGTTTAAGAAAATGTTTATTGTTAAATATTTATTGCTTAAATTATTTAACGCAAATGTTCATGGTACAGTTTGCCAACTTTTACAAGAGGCTGAATAAACTTACTTTGTGGGACATTTACTTACCAAAATCTACAAGGAAGTCATCTGGGTAAATTTACCTTGAGATTTATTTAGTCGGAAAATCTAGTACTTGTTAGGATAAGTATTCGTTAATGTTACGTTTATGATATTTTTCTCTGAAACATGTCCCATTTGAACTTTTAAAATGGTAATGTACCTTTAGAAAGCAGAGAGTTAGTATAAGCACCAAAGTAAAAAATATTACGGAAGTGATAAAACATGTAACTATCAGAACAACATCAATCATTTTCTGTTAAAACGATAGTTTTTACGAGTTCCATTTAGTCTATGAGAAAAAAATTTAAACCAAACAATAACAAATAAAATTACTGTATATTCCTGGTTCCCAAACAAAACCTGTCACAAAATTAAATTTTCGTCTAGAAATCTTTGTGCAAGTATTCAATTTTTGGAACTTTTTTACCAATTGTGAATGATAGAACACTTACCCTAAGTGCAGTGGGGTTGTGGGAATAATCAACAGGTTGACACTTGTAACTGTAGTCTAGCAGCCATCCACTCATTAGGTGCTGGAACATGAGAAAATATTGTTGAATTAGGATTAGATTTTATGGTTATTTTTTAAGGGGACACATTCTATATTTTTTAAGGCAAAGTGAGTGAAGGATTCTGTTGAATGAATGAGATCATAGTTTTGTTACTCAGATCAGCTGTTTATTTATCCAATGATGTACAGCTGGGTCCAATTAACCATAAAGAAGATTCTAACTTTTCTTGCATCCTTAAAGCAGATGAGCACTATACTCACCACCCAGTTAGCATAGCTAATGCCATTCACTTTAAATAGTTCAAGGAGACTCCTTACCCTTAAAATCTGAAGCATATTTTGATGTGTGTGTTGATTATGATTGTGGGCATACTAAAATATCCCTCATCCCTACTCCCTAATTTATCTGATCTTAATAGTGATTCCTGTGAAAGAGGTTCTACAATAACTAAACAAGTTGATAAACTTTTTACTTGAAAGAATTCCAGCTATGTTGAAATGACTCACGTAGCAAGAATGACACTGCTGCAAGCCATACAGCTGTAACTATAATTGCTGCGGTTATGATCGTTGAAGTGAAAGATAAATAATATCAGTTGCAGCGTTACTGGTCATGCAAGCTAATCGTATACAATTCTATATAGGAACAAACAAATAGAATTTTATTATTTTATCTTTTAAAAATGATTTATAAGAATTAACATTTCGACCAAAAAAATAAATTTCTTTAAATTTTTTACTTATATATAGGATTAAGATGGCGCAGATTGTCAAAACAACTTTGACAGCAACAATGCTGTGAGAATTATAAATCAACTACTGTAGTAACTTATTTACCATGCTTTGCCTTAAGAACCTGACAAAAAGGTTATTTATAACTAATATAACATAAACAAATTTAAAAATAAACAGTTCTTCACAAATGATGTTGAGCAACACAAAAGCTTCTAGGAAGAAATATGTTTTAGCATTTGGAAATTCTTGGAACATATAAACTGTCATTAATTTCGCCCTTAACTTATTTACATTTCTTTATTTGAAATCCACACGGCACCTATCTCATATTTAAAGTACACTTATAATTAAATACCCTATTAAGAATGCAGATTTTACATTCAATCAGTTTTCACTCAGTTGATCATGTGGTGAAAAAATCAGCTGATGCAATAATAAATCAGCTGTCTAGACATCAGCTGATAGCTGAGTGAGTTGTTTCACTCTTTGCCATCACTCAATGTGGGTCATAGTGTCAGGGGAACAAGGAAGAGGTCTAAAGTTCAGAGTGTAACATAACCTCTGGCTCTGCGCCAATCTTTGACAGTTGTTGTCAGATCACATGTTTCTGTTATGACAACCGCCATGGTGATAAAAATATTAGACAATAAAAAAAAATATATAGGCTTATTAGGTTAAAATGTTTAACTTACTGTAAACATGAATATACATGTTTATTCATGTTTTACACCCCACCTAATCCAAAATATACAGTTAAATTTTTCTAGTTTCATAATTTTTGTGAAAGATTAGTCTATAGTGTGTTTTACAATAATCTAAACATATATTTTTTAATTACATTTTCTTAATGATGGATCTACTTTTGAGTTAAAAATCATAGAACATGATTTATAAAGATTGCTAGAGAATTACTGTTCATAAGAAAGGTAGCTTGTTAAGTATCTATTTTGTATTAATTTTATCTTTTATTGTTTGGGTTTCAAAATTACATTAATAAGTTGTACAATAAATTTATTTTGTTTGCAGATGCTTAGTATCTGTGTTTTATTGTAATAAGAAATTTTGACAAAAAAGTTTTATAATTTATTAGACTTAATATACTAACAGCTCTAGATAAATGGTTGAATTTCGAGCACCAATTGCATTTAGAAATTGCATAAACATTATTACGTAAATTTTATTCTTAATAAATAATGAATTACAGCATTGGCCGACTGAGCAGGATGTATCATAATTGCTGTTTCCAATTTGAAGGCGATTCCTTACGAGCCTAGTACAGTAGCTAGTAGACTATTGCAGCCGGCAAAACGACAAAGTATGAAAACTACAAAAGCAAATGTATTTGAAACAAAACCTCACATAGGGCCTAATAATGAATTATCACCACGTTAAACAGAACAATTCCAGAAGCAAAAAATAGTGGTAGAAGTAGACAATGATGGGTTGAATCGGACACTGAAAAGAATATAGTAAAAGCAAAGAATTGCAAAAAGGATCGATAGAAGACATGACGACAATGAATAGCTTTTACGAGGGAGTACGAGACAAACTAAGAGGAAAAAAGTAAAAAATCAACAACGAAGAAAAAGTTACAATAGGAGAAGTCGAAGAAGAAGCAAACAGATTTGAATGTTGGTAGTCAGGAAAGAAACTGGGAAGAAAAGGTTGATAAAAAAAAACGAAGTAAAAGAACTACAATAATTTATGAAGTAGATGGATACGAAGACTGAGAAAGGATTTTAGGGACGGATGAAGAGTTTGATAAAGAAAACTTCGAAGAAGAGCTGTCACAGAAGTATAAAAAGTAGAATCAACGAATTGCAGTAGTCAACGAATTTGTAACGACGGGAGACAGGAAAAAATTAACGAAAATGAAGAACTACAAGAGAAGGAGAATTAAAGAACAAGGAACAGACAATTCTTTCAGCTATATCTCGTTGGAAAAATCATATGACAAAATGTTAAACAGAAGGATCTAAAGACGTTTCTAGAATGCACAAGTAAGTACGCCTTGTCGGTTTCAGTTCAAGTCGTCTGTAATTGAGGATCCGGGCTTCCCAGTACTTTACCCTGAAGGTTCAAGGCTCTGAGGGGAATCATTGTCCTTTTATAAATCACCACGTCGCCTCACGGACGCGTCCTGGGAGATCCATGGCAAAGATTATGAGTTTACGTCTGCCATTTTAATGTCAAAAGTGGTAGTTTCACCCATAGTAAGTCGCTAACTACGAAGCTAGAAAGAAAAAAAGTTGTGTTGAAATTAATTTATAAATTGCGAAAAACAATGTAGACCACATCAAGGGTACTTAAACATTACGTTTTGGATGGACATTTTAAACTCGTAGCAAATTAAATAAACATATCCTACTCAGAAAATTATTTTAAAAACTAGTAGGGAGATTTGGAGTGGAGCGAAAAAACACAATTAGCCAATTAAATATTTATTTAGTTACATCAAAGATTCACGAACATTTGCACCTTTTTCTAGTAAATTACAAAAATTTGTATATTTTCGAATTGCTTCACCACTATATATAACTAAATGTACATTCAAATGACCATTTTACTGGGACCTTTTAGAATGTTAAGAATAACTGCGTATTTAACTTTTTGAAATACTTAAGGATGGTATTTCACTTGCCCGATAAAAAAAGACCACACCAGTAAACGATATGCTAAACATGCAGAAAGAACCCCAATGGGGGTCTATATACATTAAATATAACATGGCAAAATTACTTGCGGAAATACCATTAGTTGTTATAACAGCTAATGTTTACAGTACTTAATTGTCTTATGATTTCACGGTGTTTTTGGTTACTACTGTTATTGCAGCTATCTTAAAAATCGGAGACTCCTTTTAATAAACGGTTAAACATATCATCGAAATTCTACCTAAATAAATTATGGCCACAATTAACGTTCACTGTCAAACTATATGACATCAGTTTCACATTGCAACTGGGCGAGGTGTAGTCTAGAGGTTAGCATTAGGTAAGACTAATTCTAGTTTTATGTTCGCAGCATTCGCAGTACATTTAACTTGTCTATCAAACGATTGCTTGCCCCTAATAACACTTTAATATTGTTACAGGAGCATTCATTCTTATCTTGTGACTGCGAAACCCAGAGCATGGGAAATTGTAGAGCTTTTAGAAACAGCTGTATCTACTAATTACTATAACCTTTCGTCCAGCAGAATCAGCAAGTAGAAGGGAATTTGTAAGTATAATTAGTGAGAAGGTTAGTCAAGGTATTTAATGGATTTAGGTTTAACAATCGAGATTTATTCCAAACAAGCTTAGACGATCTCTTATTACTTTACTAAATACAGTTGAATTATGAGTAAGTATTCTAATCTGAACATGAATGCATAATGTTGTGTAGTTTTGTAATTGGCTAGGATCAGCTGTTTGGAGAATGCATTATTGCTGAATAAAATCAGCTGTTTGTTAAAAACGTAGTTTATTTAAAACCTGTTTATTAATAATCAAGGACTGCCAGATTCAAGTTAAAGCAAAATTGAGCTAATATCTTTATCTTAAAAACGTTTTCTATTTGTAAATAAGATTTTGAACATTTCTAAAATTCTCTGCTACAATTCTTCTTCTTTAGTGGGATGATTACTTATATCAAATCCGATGGTTTTTTTAACAAGATGCAAAATTAACAGAAATTAAAACACCAACGGTATATATTATTGTTAACAAAATTGTCAACGCCAAAAAAGTAATAGGAAACTCGGTCCTTAAAATATTGTTCTATTTTGAATATACATATTCAAAAATTAAGATGAATTATATAGAGTTGTTGACATAGAACATATTCAAAATAAAGTTTTAAGCATACTGTAGTTACTGACGTTCTAGAGGGCTAGGTAGTATTCTATGGTATGTATGTGACTGAAGAATCCCGGGAAACTTATAACAACGAGACATAAAAATACTTTGAAACATTTTTTCGATTAGATATAGTAAATTGTGACTTTACCGCCAAGTCGTCATGACTCACGTAATGTGTAGGACGGAGAAAGACCAAGGTTATGAGTGGGAGAGAGAGAGAGCGAGAGAAGTGACGAAAACAAGTAATTCACGGGCATTACAGGTTACATTAGTTACGTAAGGCTATCTATTACATTACTCGACTAGTTAGGTATTACTATTAGCATACTTGGTCGTCACGACAACCAAGCAACTAGCTGCCAACACGTGGCTGTGACCCTGGAGATTGGTGTGAAAAATCATGTTTTGACGGGTAATTGTCATTGCTGATGTTTTCTGGGAAATG